GTTCCAGGATGAAAGAGGATAGACAGACAAGTCCAATTTTGTGCTGTGAATTTCCAGCACATCGTTTAGCTCAATGCCTTGCTCTCCTAAAATCCCAAAATAAATTTGACTGGCCTGAACACTTAAAGATATCATAATTAGTTCAATTGAAGATGTCTTGATAGACAGGAATGCTATTTCCTGTCCACCTCCATCCCCACAGACATGCTCTGTGAAATTTCTTTTCTCAAGGACAGTGTTGATTTAATTGGAAAGAACTGTGTTCTCATTTCCTATTTTGGCTACCGAAGTAGCCCCGGCCATATGCACAGTGGCCATCTGGAAAAATTCATTCCTAACTTCAGGGAATATTGCATCAGTTTGCCCTGAAACTGTTTACCCACTGGCTCTGCCCCTCATTTTTAGAAGCAGTGTGATTTCTACTTGGGTTTACTTGAGATTCTGCCTAATAACCAAAATAAACAGTGGTACATAAGCCTCCATGGAGAATCAGCACACAGATTTAAAGAATACTCCCCTGTACTACTCTATAATTTATTCTCTTTTTTGCAGTTTTGGGTTTTTTTTAATCAAGAGTTGCTGAAATCAGCTTTTGTTCCATGTGTTCATAACTACAAGCCTTATTTTTTTCCTTTTCTTTTTTTTCTGATTAAGAAATACTCAAAGGTATAATCAGGTCCTTGCACAGTATTTAATTAGCCATAATTAAAAGACATCTACACAAAGCACAGTGTTTTTCAAAGTCTTTTCTTCTGTTACATTGTTAATGAATTAAGAAATTAATTGGCATTGTGAGTTACCATAGAAAATGTGGCTGAGAAAATTTTAACTGTCTTATAAAATTATCCTTTATTATAGATGATGTTCTGGCCCTGTATTCAATTCAATGTCATTCCCAATCATTAAAAGAAAAAAAAAAAGCAAAACATAAGAATGGTGGGAAGAGAAGGACAGATAAAGGTATAAAAAAATGTTCCCATAGATCCATATTCTACTAAGAGTGTTTTAACATGATCCAAGCTCCAAACTAGTCCATTCGTTTTGGGGGACTTTTTTAAATCTCCAAATTTCTTAGGAATGGTGGGGAAAGTGGGCACAGGGGCCAAAGGGGTAGCAGGGAGTGCTGGGAAGATGATTCACTTATTTTCATACCTGGTAATCTGGCTTTATTGCTTAATAATATGTAGGAAGTATTATTTATATGATTAATTCTATCAACAATAACAAAGTCTCAGGAAGGAGAGTTTAATAAAGAATTTGAAAGATATTGTCTCATGTTTCTACCTTTAGTCTTTCAAAAGGCTGTTTCCTATAGACATATTTAAACCATCCTTCCACTTTAAAGATATATAGTGACTCTTTGGGCAAAAAAGTAGAAATCAAACAAGTATACAGATGAAGGATGTATATCTCTAGCATTTGAAAAGCTTGTATAGATTTATAAGATAACACAAAAATACCAGCGAAGGTGAGAAAGAGACAGCAACAATCACACATAACACTGCTAACACCTAATAAACATCAAATAGCTCAAAGAAATACACATCAAAGTGAGATTTGTATTTCTCCTATACCCTTAACTCCTATATCATTATTAAGAATTTCTTAAAATCTTAATACCCAATGTTTGAAGATACTATGGTTTCTGTTGGGACTATAAATTATATCTTTCTGCAGAGAAATTTAGCTATACGCATCAAAACCTCTAGAAATCATCACATGCTTTGACTGAATAATTTTACAACTCGAATTTTTTTCTGAAGAAATGTTGAAAGATGAAGGGAAGGCCTTATATAGGTTATTTATCATAGAAAATGTTATAATAAACTCATAATATCAAGAGTTAGAATAACAAATGCTAAGAGTCAAGTTTAAAATATGTATTGATCATTCATGTAGTTAATTACGGAACCAATAAAAATATTTCTCAAGAATATATTGATGAAATAAAGGCTTGTGATACAATGTTTGGTGAACAATGGAATATAAATTACATTATCCAAATTTTTAAAAGTTTGTGTCTAAATATACATTAAAATATTAATAGAGGTTATGTCTGGGTGGCTAAAATTACTGAAAATTTTCTCTTCTAATTTTTGTAAAATGTTCTATGGAAAAAATGAGCTATTTAATTATTACAAAATATAAAATTGATTTTGTAAAACAAATTAAAGGTCAACATGTCTCTTTGAAGTGACAAATACTAGAGCATAAGCATATTTTTATAAAATATTTTTAAAATATGTGGACTTCTACCACAATTAAATCTAACTGAAAATATTTAGAATACTTAACCTGTGTATCTAAAGACATTAATGATTCAATTTTCAAACCATAGCTATTTTAACATTGTTAAGGAATTCTCTAATAAGTTTAAGAAGACAAATGATATTATCTACCCAGCATAATCAGATAGTTTAATTTTTAATTGAACTTTATCTGGAGTCCTTTATATTGTATTAAACAATTCAGAAATCCACTAATGAATGACTTAGACAAAGTAATTGCATGTATAGAATGATCAAAGAAATAAAGGATAATTAATAATCATTTTCACATATATTACCGTATTTGACCCTCAGATTTGTAAACAAGAATGATGTTCTCCTGACTAGAGATACAGAGAAAGTTGCTAGAGCAAAACTGATGGCATTCCCCAAGGTCTCCTGGCAAGTCAGTGATGGAACCAGGATTTTGACTTTGTACCTCTGTTTTCTAATCTTGGACCAAAGTCCAGACTTTGTGCCAATGTACCATGCTGGCATCCTAAAATAATTATTAGCGCTTAATTAGTCACGTGATGTTATCCAGAACATTTGCTCTTAAACTTTAACATCATCTATATTAGTGAGCTTGATAGACAACACATATATCTATCGAACAGCCTCAGAGACAGTCATGAGCCCCAAGCAGGCTGTTTTCCACTAAATGGCACACAGCCTGCTTCTCTTCTGGGGAATGGGTTTCAAGGAATTTGCAGCTACTTGTCACATTTTTCTTTAATTCAAGCAAAATCTTATTAGATGTTATATTCGCATTGTTTAAAAAGCCCATTAATGTAAAGGCTTAAGTTATCCCTTCCTTTGCGCACTTTTATTTATTTATTTATTTACTTGAGATGGAGTCTCGCTCTTTTGCCCAGGCTGGAGTGCAGTGGCGAGATCTCGGCTCACTGCAAGCTCTGCCTCCCGGGTTCATGACATTTTTCCACCTCAGCCTCCCGAGTAGCTGGGACTACAGGCGCCTGCCATGATGCCCGGCTAATTTTTTGTGTTTTTAGTAGAGATGGGGTTTCACTGTGTTAGCCAGGATGGTCTCGATCTCCTGACCTCGTGATCCACCCCGCCTCAGCCTCCCAAAGTGCTGGGATTACAGGCGTGAGGCACCATACCCGGCTCTTCTGTGCACTTTTAAATGATGTACTTAGCTTTATTTCTCATTCTAAAACTACAGAAATTTTCTCTGGACTCTCCATTTGGTAAGATGAAGATGCTACTGTCTCTCCCCTTTTCCTCCCACATTTTCCCTGTCTCCTCCCAAACTGCCGTTTCTGGTTTTCATTGTCAAGGTTGGTAACATTTACAGTTTCCCATCAAGCTTTGGTCATAGGATGATTCTAAATGACAGAACTGTGAATACATTGATAATTTATTTTTCACTAACAACCAAGTAGTTAACTTATGATTACATGTTCCTTCCTGTGTAACTAGTGTGTGTTTTATCCTACAGTTTCCCATTTCCTTTTCCCCCATTTTCCTTTTTTTCATAAGAATCCTTGACTTTTCTTCTAAGACTTCCATAGATTTGTCAAAGTCATGTTTTAAATTCTAAGGGCTCCTTCAAGTTTTTAGATTTTAGTTTGTATATAATATCCTATTCTTTTGAAATGAAGATTTTAGGGGAATTTTTTTTTATTTTATTTTTTTGTTTCTGTTTTTGTTTTGCAAATTTACTGGAGAATTTAATCTGAGTTTTACTGTGGAAGTTCTGACCCATTCCCTAATAGAGTTCTATTTCTGAAGGGTTTTTCTTTTCTCCTTTTCCTTCTCCCTCCATCCTCCTTTTCTTCCCTCCCTTCCTCCTTCCTGTCTTGCCTTGCCTTACCTTGTCTTTGTCTTTCATTTTCTGGGAAGAGCAGACCACAGGATGCTCACCCCTCTCTGGAATCATTCTGAGGGGAGATTTCTCGCTGAACTGCCAGAGTTCCCCAGTGGGATTCTGCTCCAGATGCACACAGGCTTGAGCCTCTTTCCCTTCCTAGTCACACTTCCCTGCTTTCACGCTGGCATTTCTAGAAATCACCTCCCATATAAACTGCTCATATATAAACTGAGACAGAATTTTCCCAACGTGTGTATTACCTTTGACTGTACATTCATGTTTAAACATGAGGCAACTGATGAAATAGTAATATAAGTCTATTTTGTTGGGAGATTCCTACTTAATAAAATTTAGATATTTTGCTCTTGAATCTATACTGGCTATTATAACTCTACTTGCTATTCTAGTCTCTAGTTTCAAGACACAGCCTATATACCCCAAGACAGATTTTTTTTCTGTTTCTCTAAAGAAAAACTTTGTTACTTAAAAAAAAAAAAAAAAAAAAAGTGTTCGTTGATGATGTTGCATCACCTGGGAAGTAAAAGCCTTAACTCCTGGATATCACAGATTTGGATGGAAGTGGGAGTGGAGGGTTAGAGGGGTAGCAGGAATGCAGTTGATTTGAAGACAGTCATTTGCAGGTATCCTCTTCTTCACTGTCTCCTCCCATCTTCTTGGTGTTTTTGAGAAGTGAATTGCTTTTGGGTCCTGCAGGGCATATCGGCTCTCTGCTTGTAACCTCTTACGCAGAATTCCAGCAATAACTTTCTCTACCCCAGTTTAAAGCTCAATTATTTTCCTTCTAACAGATAGCTGTTGACATTTTCTGCTGATAATGGCTCCCTTCCTATTCTTTTCATGATTGTGGATTTATACATATTTTAATCGATCTCTTTATTATCAATTTAAATATGGCCTTTTGAAGGAAACAAACAAGTTTGATCAGAATGCCATATTAAAATGAAAGTTAGATGTTTTTGCAAGTAAAGTTATTGGCTAAATATACTTTATCATTTATATGACTATAAACTAGTAAAAGAAGATCCCATTTGAAACTATGGGATTACAAAATACAAAAGATTTTGGTACAGAAGGCACCTGACTCAGTTTTGATTGCCTTTGCTTTTAAATTAAATCCCAACCTTCATTATTATTATTCTGCCCCTGTTTTTCAAAATCAGAAAGCCAGTTGATACTCATTCTGAAGTTTTCAGTCCTAATAACTTATTCATGGAATCCAGATGTAAGCTGAATTGATCATCATAGATTGTGATCAGTTATGTTTGTACATCTGTGGTCTCTGTGGCTGTGCTGAAATGTTTAGAAAATATAACTTATTCCCTTTATGCATTAATGAGTAGGCATTAAATATTTAATTCATTTACATATTATCTGGCCCCTCTATTTGGAGCTGCTGTCTGTTAGTTCTAGAAAGTATCCCAAGAAAACAATATTATTTCCGGTTTCTTCCCCACATTGTATCATTCAATTTATCCCTCTATGAAAAATGGACAAGGTACTTTGTGGTTCTAAGATTTTCTTCTTCCCTATTTAAAACTTTAAGTAGTAGGGCCGGGCGCGGCAGCTCACGCCTGTAATCCCAGCACTTTGGGAGGCCAAGACAGGTGGATCACGAGGTCAGGAGATCGAGACCATCCTGGCTAACATGGTGAAACCCCGTCTCTACTATAAATACAAAAAAAAAAAATGAACCGGGCGTGGTGGCGGGTGCCTGTAGTCCCAGCTACTCGGGAGGCTGAGGCAGGAGAATAGTGTAAACCCGGGAGGTGGAGCTTGCAGTGAACCAAGATCGCGCCACTGCACTCCAGCCTGGGCGATAGAGCGAGACTCCATCTCAAAAAAAATAAAAACAAACAAAAAAAAAAACTGTATGTAGTAGATTAACTTACTTCTAATTTCCTCTCACAGTTCTAGGAAGGACTTGTCAATCTAATATCAAATACTGAAGACAAAATTCATTTTAAACTTAGGACTTCTCCTGATCCTCACAGATAAAGCCTGGTGGCTCTTCCAGTCAGCCAGAATCTCATTCTTAACCATTTAAAAATATACACACAGAGTGTATTGCCTGGCACTTATTTATTTCCTAACAGATAATTACTAAATAAATGAATCCTAGATTTGCTCTACTCTTGGCTCATGTGGTAGACAGAATAAAGGCAACCCTGAATGTCAGTCCACATCCTAACCCCCAGAAACTGTCATTATGTTACCTTACATGGCAAAGGGCACTTTATAAATGTAAGTTTTTGACCTTGAGATAGGAAGATTACACTGAATGTATTCCACCAACGTAACACTTTGAACCTACATGTAAAATTTGTAAAAGTAAGGCTGGGCATGGTGGCTCACACCTGAAATCTCAGTACTTTGGGAGGCCAAGGCGGAAGGATCGCTTGAGCTTAAGAGTCTGAGACCAGCCCAGGCAAGATGGAGAGACCTCATCTCCACTAAAAATTAGCCAAGTGCGGCTACATGGGAGGCCAAGGCAGGAAGATCACTTGAGCCCAGAAGACCAAGACTACAGTGAACCATGTTCATGCCACTGTACTCCAGCCTGGGCAACACAGCAAGGCCCTGTTTCAAAAAAGAAAAAATTGTTAAAGTGACCAAAAAATGAAAATCTCCAGCCAACCCACTGTGAACTAAATTGTGTTCTCCCCAAATTCATGTTGAAGCCCTAATCACCAAGATGACTGTATCTGGAGATAGAGTCTTTAGGAGATAATTAAAGTTGAAAGAGGTCATAATGCCATAAGACTGTGGCCTTATAAGTGGAAGAGAGAGAGATTTGGGAAGATTTCTCCTTCTCATTTACTTTCTGCCATGTGAATACTCAGGGAGAAGGTGCCTGTCTGCAAACTGAAAGGAGAATCGTCATTAGAAACTACATCGGCCATCACCTTGATCTTGAACTTCCCATTTTCTAGAACTGAGAGAAATAAATGTCTGTTGTTTAAGCCACCCAGTGGTATTTTGTCATGGCAGTCTGTGCCTACTAGCACACACATCTGAAAAATGTATGTTTCTCCACAAGAGGTATATAATCTCATGAAATCCTTCATTATTTAAACTGAAAGTGTAAGAAAGTTGCATTGGATGAAATAATAGCTACACAACACACAATATTTATATACCTGGTCATGATCCCCAATGAGTCATGAACTTAATGCTTATCCTTCTCATTAGTGTTTCTTTTTTTGAGACACATTATTTACAAGCCATCCCTCTCTCACAACTATCCATTTCACTTGATCAAATTTGATTATAGTCTTGATATCATTTGATTATGGTTTCATATAATGCACACAAGACTGATTAAAATAAATTTTTCTTTCTACAACAAATGTGCTAGCAAGCAGCTGTGTTGCTACCTGCCCAAGCAAAAATAAGCCAGCATGTCTGTCACTTGCCAAGTTCACTGTACCTTCAGGATACCTATGCTATCGTGAGGTGATCAGAATCATTTGCTTTCCAAAATTTTCACTATACCAAATACTGCATGTTCACTTATAAGTGGGAACTAAATGATGAGAATACAGGGACACATAGAGGGCGACAACACACACTGGGGCCTACTGGAGGGTGGAGAGTGGGAGGAGGGAGAAGAGCAGGAAAAATAATTAATAAATACTAGACTTAATACCTGGGTGACAAAGTAATCTATTTAACAAACCCCCATGACACATGTTTACCTGTGTAACAAACCTGCACACCCTGCACATATACCCCTGAACTTAAAACAAAATATTTTTACTCTTTCTAAAAATTTTTGTCAATGTACAGGTACCTGCTGAGGAACAGTAGGATTTATGTTACAAACCAATGGCCAAATGTAAGAGGAGATGCATTAATTCTAACACCCAAGCATTTCAAACCTAAGAGCTGTCGAAAGTAACAGTTTCCCCATACAACAGCGGTAGACCATAAGAAGAATGCATAAGTGGATATAACTGGAAATGGAATCATTTATGACTTTATGTATCAAGGTTGGTATGATGAATTATAGCTAGAAGTAAAATGATCACATAAACTACAGTATCTAAGTAAAATATGTGCTAAGAAGTTCCTCCTGAAACATCACTGGTTTTTCAAGGCTGGCTCCTTACAGAATCCACTGAAACTCTGGTGATTTTCTAGGTTGAATGTTCATTGAATCTACTACAGCGGTAGTCCAACTGTGATAAGTAGATAAAGGCTGCACAGCCCTGTTGAAAAAGAAAAGCTGCATCTTGATCATCAGGCTCAGTTAAATAAAAGATTATTGCACAGCTACAAATGAGGGAAACCTTAGAACCAGCCTAGCACTGATGATAACATTTTAGAAATGAATGTCATTTTGGTCAGACAAGTGATTACTGTCAGGTCAAAGAGACCCAGGAATGTCTCCTCAATCATTTCATGCACTAGACCTTTCCCCTGACCTTCAAGCAGTGCTTCCCTTCATCTTGAAATTCAATCAATTGGCCCCTCCCAATCAGAAACATCCAATAAAATCATGCAAGCCAGGCGAATAGTTTTGTGAGCTGATTATTGAATGATGTCTAGAATGCCGAAATCATAGTCCTGAGCAATGTTTCTGAAGATGTAAAAAGTATGATTCATTTTACCATTAGGCTGATATCAGAGAGAAAGATTCTCATTTGACATTTAATCTTCAGGGACGAATTCGATGCAAGCATTCATAACGTGGCAGAGAAGATTTTCACTATTGCTGTTCCGTAGAACTGTGACATGAATGGAAGAGAGTCCAACATGATATGTGGCCATATCTGTTAGTCATTCATTCACTCATTCATTCAGCTATTCAACATATAATTTTGGAGGACCTATTTAGTGCCAATCAAAGCTTGCTATGGATGGTTCTATTGAGCCATCTCTCCTTCATAGAATAAATGATCCTCAAGTTGGGAAACACAAGTTATAAAACAGAATCCTCTATACAATGCAAGAGTATCATCTTAGCACCCCTCACAAGTGCTCAGTCTCCGGTTCAAATCTTCTAGAAAGCTCTAAAGACAAATTCTCAGGTGTATGAAGTCTTCCCTTCAGTATGACCAGTAGCAGCCATATAGCCCTCTGCCAGTGGCATGGCATCCTCAGTTCAGTCAACAACTTGAAGGGATATCAGCTGCCAGAAGTGGTCTTTGGAGATGACAGCAGGATATTGGTGGAACAAGTATCTTTGGCTTGGGCTTTTATTTATAATGAGAACTGATTGATGGTTCGGCCCATATACACACACTCATGCAAATGGCTTCATCTTTACGGCACTAAATGTAATGCCATGCTAATTTGGATAAGCAGTTGTTACAGTTCGTATCAAAGGTTTCTTTTTTTCTGTAATCATTTACTTAACATTTTAATTTTCCTTCTGCAGCCTCCCAACTAAAATCATCTAACAGTAATCTCTGTGTTAATACCAGACAGACAGAAAGCATCTGTATTATGTCAAGTGTAAAAGAAACAGAAAAGCATCAATTTCTGATCCTTAGGTAATATTTTTCTTCTTTCTTAACACAATTTTATGTAACAGTAGAATATGATATTATAATATCAGGGCAAATTTTTGTAAACATATTTGAAATCTCCCTTTCCATTCATTTTAATGTTTGTCTAGGTATAGATGTAATGTGGATACAGATTCAGAGAAATAATGGAATAGTAGTAAACTGAGTTATTTTTCCAACTAAATCCCACCCTCCACTTCAGCATATTCAGTTGCTAAGGGCCAACATTTTGCCAAGCAGATAGTATAGTAAGAGGAAATCATGATACATTTTGCAATCCTGTGTCCTACAACAACAGGATATTAAGTGCCTGTAGCACTTCACCTAGAAATCTGTTATTGGGTCAACAGCCCACAATCTAATGATGAGAAAAGGAGGGCTGGATCCTGTAAATACACATACATGTTTGAACACTGGCAGTCACTTTTTGGTGAAAATGTGTTATCCCAAAATTGGCATAATCACAGTTTCCACCTCGTTTATGACCAGCATAAAAAATTGCATAAAATATCATGCACAGCTGTAGTCAGAAGGAAGATTCAATTTGGGCTTTGTGCAGACTTGACTTGCTGCCAGTGCAGTTACATACATCATCTAGGGCTGCATTTAAAAGGATAAAATACAGTTTTAATTCTTGTGGCAAATTTATTTTTTCAAGGAGAGATAAAAATGTTAAAATACATCATAAAAAGCATTAAGTCCCTCCCTTCCC